CACAATCCAAGAGTCTGCATAACTCAGCCGGTATAGAGGCGGGCTGGGGGCTGGACGGCCAAGGTGTGGGGGTTTGATTCCCGGTAGGGGCAAGTTTCTGCGGTTGTACAGTCTTGAGTCTAGTCACCACACGAACTGAGATATCTCGCCCTGATTTTGCGGCCCGAGAAACGAAATTCACTAAACGTTTGGGCAACAGAGGATTACGTAGGCCTAAATAGGTCCAGGAGGAGCAGGAAGGAACTAAAACTGTTTGTTCATATATCCTTTCTCTGCTTCATCACTCTCCTGTCTCCCCTTCGCTGCTCTAGTGTTCTGTCTTTCCTCCTAATCACTACGCTTACGGAATGGATCCTTTAAAGGGCAATTTCCTTTGCTTTGTTTCTCCTGATATACCTCCAGCTCTTGTAGATTCAACTACAGCCATTCATTCCTATCAATCTCTCTGCCCTTAAGGGTCAATATCCTTTACACTGCTCTCCTTACTCCTATTGGTTCGCTCAGAGCCCCGACAGCTGTCCTCCCTCTCTCCGTGTCCATATTAAGCTCAACTTATTATTCTTCAACCCTAAAAATGGAGACGGGAACGTTTTCGAAATTTCAGTAACGATCTAGCAGACAACACGGCGTCACAGACAGCGATGTAAAAAATAAATAATTTTTTTATGAAAATCGGAAAGGCATTTCTCTCACTATTGCAATATTTTGTGAATAATGCCATGGTTGGTGAGAACACCTGAAGGAAAGAGACCACTAGGTAGAACTGTGGATAGATGGGAGGATCTTAGATAAATCGGATTGGGGTATGGGCTGGATCCATCTTGCTCGAAATAGCGACCAGTGGCGGGTTCTTATGAGCACAGTAATTAACGTAGGAGTTTAGGTTCTCACAGCGGTCGTCATGAAGGGATAATTCTTCACTGTAACTAGCCCTCGGGCTCCATAAAATACTGAGAATTGCTTGAGTGGCTGAGCAACTGGTGGCTTCTGCAGAAGAGCTCGCCTCTTTCGAGTTCATTATAGGCGTATGATTTGTGTGCAAAAAGAAATGGATGTTATTTCCACAGTTTGAAGCTTTAAATATAGTAATCTGGAGCCCCGTGTTTGGTATGCCTTGAGGTGAAGCTCAAGTCTGGGATGAGTGGGTTCGGTCGCCTCCAGAGAAGAGATGAATATACTCCATGATTGCCTTCTCAACCCCCCCTCCCCACAACTAATTTGCAATTAATCATTCTCTCTGCATCAGTCAAGAGTCTACATACGCTGCAGTGTAAACTTGTAGACTGTTAGTCTATAGAAACAAATAAAAAGCAAGTGTTAGTTTCCTTGACAATGTAGATTTCAGCCACTTCATTTCAGCTGAAGAAGGTGCTGGAAAATGCGGGCCTGAGGGCAAAAGTGGGCTATTCACCCGAACAGACACTTTCTTTGTTATTATCTACTTACTACTATTTGTATTCACTGTGGTAGGATGTCCTTATTGTTGTGTTTTGTGTATTGTGTTTTGTTTGAACGTGTTGTCACTTAGTGTAATGTGTTACTTGTCTGTTGTGTCCTATTGTGTACTACTGCCACCGGGCTAAAACCCAATTGCAGTATAATAAATAATATATATATATATGTATATAAAATTGCAGTGCCTACACACAGAAAACACACTGTCTCCATATCGAGGATCGATCGGTTGATGTTTACGTAAATATAATCGACGTTTGTTCTGTGAAAAGTGCGAAACGCGTCGAGGAAAGTGGTACCATTGTGCTTTAAGGGGTAAACTGACTGTTACCAAGCGGTTAGTGTAGTGGTAACGCTGAAGACGTGCATTCGGAAGGTGTTCGGTTCGAAGCTTGGACTCACTTCTTTGCGGGGCGTAGCTTGGTGGGGTGGGGTGGGAGGTATTCTGGAAAAGTTATATAGTGACATTGAATTGATTCTGATTCTCCATATGTCAGAGATCGGCTGTTTAATTTCGTGCATTTGTAAATTTCTTATAGTTTTATTAATTGATAGAAACCTGAAGAAACATTAAGAGTAAGTAAAAGTGTCCCTATAATAGGCTGTGGAGGTTCATAGGGTTGTGAGATGTTGAGGCTCCCACATTTTCTAGACAATCGGCTCACAGATGGCGGTAAGGTTGTCAGCCTTACGTGCCGGCCGCCCTTTACCCCCAAGAATATTCCTGGTACTCATTTTTGTTAGACGCTGAGTCGACCCCAGGGCCACAGTGCTGCTGGAAGGATTAGGTAAATTAAAAAAGAATCAACCTCATCGGGATTCGATCCCGCGACTTTCCGGCTTGTAGCATAGTGCCTCAACCAAATGCGCTACCGACTTTAAATATTAAAATTGAAAGAAAGCTGTTGCATTCTGTTGATGTGGCTATGACAAAATTTATAGGAATATGTCACGCGAAACAAAGTGGATTAATGTTTATTGCACCGCACATTTCGGTTTTACAGAAGAAAACAAACAATAGGTGGACAGTAACAAATGGATAATGACAAAAATGAACAATAACAATGAAGAATGCCGTCTTCTGGGATGTGGCGCCGTGTATATATTGTGTAAACCGACGTTTCGGAGGCCACCTGCTCACGCTGGTTCCTTGCTCGCTGATATTTATATCATGAAGACGGAGGCGATACGTTCCTCCGAAACATCGGTTTACACAATATTTACACGGCGCCACATCCCAGGAGACGGCTTTCTTCATAGTCACCGCCGTGAAAACCTCAAATCTTACAATAACAAATTAGATTACAATTGTCTACAATGGGATAATTGTGGTGGGTTCTACACCAGATACTACTGAGTCACTGCAGACGGTCGCAATCTCTACATTTTCATTGTGTTATTAATCGTCCACCTAGTAACGGTTTTTATAAAACCGAAATATGTAGCAGAGTAAATATTATGACACGTAGAGCCATTGCTAGGGAACGCGTAGACAAACACGTGTCCATGGAGACCAAACCTGTACGAAACACATTTTCGACGATACGACCGATCAACAAACATTTCCTAGGATATAAGCGGCCGTTCAGATAAGAACAAGCTTACAAACGTTCAAATGACTAAGCTGCCGTTGTAACATAAGATACGTAAGTTAGGCACTATCTGCTCTGCAAAGCCTGTACTGACAGTGGACTTGTGTGTAGTGCAAAAGGAAGAATTTTCAGTAACATGTTATATGTGCGAAATATACACTTGACGAAAGGCCAAGCATATCTATAAGAGACAAACCCATCTTCTCGTCAGAGAGGATGTTACGTAAGGACTATTACCGCAAGAGTTCAGTTGGGAAAAAGAATCTTTGGTCGTGAGCCTCAAAATGCCTGGAGCCAAGACGGATTGGCGGTAAACCGTCAGTCGTAAAGTAACTCTGACTCTGACTCTGAACCGAGTCAGTCACAGTAGAAGACAGAAGTCAGGCGAGAACAATAAATGCCAGACTAGAAGAGAGGACAGTCGTAGTCAAATCAGAATCGAGTGAGTGTCAGGCAGACATTAACTGAGTTATTGCAATTGATTGTGTGTTTAAGAGAGACTGTAAAAGAAGGTGTTAATAAATCCAATCATCCAACCCAAACCCCGTTATTATTAGTCACGCAGCCATAAATACAAGACAATATTAATGAAGCAGATTATTAATCTATACTGTTTCGTGTGACTGTCATATATTTTGAAACTTTCGTGAAAGCAGCATCTCTTGAAGAATGTTTTGAAGCTATGTTATTTCAGTGTAAACCCTTTTTCTGAATGTAATAGAACTGTAGTTCATAAAAAATCTTCAAATCGAGGGCCACAGAGAATTTCCTTTTGTTTGTATGGAAGTTTAATACTTCGAACGTATTTCTACTTATAAAGATTTATATGACACTAGTGCTGCACCCACTTCAGAAGTTCGCCATGGCATTGTTAGCTTGACGCTTTCGAGAAACAGAACAACGTGGGGACATCTGGTGACATGACTTTCATACCGAGCTCCAGTTCGCTTTCTCAGTTTATGTTTTCAAGCGCTACGGTGTCACGGGCGCGCGGAGAAGCTCTGTAGCCTCTGAGCCAGATTACGAGGCCAAGGAAACACTGACAAACAATAAACCTCACATTTTAAAACTAATTCCATGGGGCTGAGCCCTTCCTGAGAAGCCACTAGGCGCTCAGCTACCCTAGAATTTCCCAGTGTGATATGGAACCCGAATGGTCATTACCGTGTTCACAAGAGCCCGCTACTAGTCCCTGTTCTGAGCCAGCTGAATCCATTCCATATCCTCATAACATATCTTTTTATATTCCATGGATATGTTCATTCGAGTGTACAGTGCACAACTTAAACTTAGGCAGTTATGTAGGCCAACAATCCCTGGGACCCGGCGACTAGATTACATTCTGGACGACCTAGGAAACGAGGTTCGATTCCCAGCATTATAAGGACATTTCTCTCTTCTGCACAGCATCCATATCGACCCTGGGACCCAAACAGTTTCCTGTACAGTGGGTACCGGGGGTAAAACGGCAGGAGCATGAAGCTGAGGGTGAGCATGTGTGGAGCTGTACCTCCATTCCCACACACGTCTTCCTGGCACGATGCTTAATTAAACCTTTACCCCTGAGACCGTAACGAGTATCAAAAAGAGAACATTGGCATGATAGGGTGTGTAATTAGAATGCGTGAAACTAGGGTGTCTAAGAATATTTTTGAAACAGAGAGAGAAAGGAAAAATGTAGAGAATTATTTTTGAGAGATGAACGCCAATAAATTGAAGGAAAATGGGTTTCTGCCTTTAAGAAGGCCAAAGTTCTCAGAGCAGCTGACGGACAAGTGAGCATGGACGGGTAAAATACAGGAAGTTATTAAGAAGAAGTCAGTGAAACATGAGATTGCCGCTGTTCTGATGGTTAAACAGAAACAGTTCTATCTCTCTGCCTTCCGTAAGGGTTCGAGCTAGCCATTCACTCAGAGTTTGCTTTCTACAAATAGACAGAGTCCTTGTACTTACCACTGAGATAAACTCCATATTCAGGTGAGTGCGACCGAAGCTATCACATGGACTTACACGTTAATAGTCACAACTTGTTTTCTGTTGTAATACAAACACAATTAAATATATATTTAAGTATTAAATGTTGGACACTTATCGTGAATTTTGAGATGTGTTTCATATCACAAACACTAATGAGAACATTTTCTTGTGAATGATCGCGTTTAAAATATAAGGAACAAAATTCAATTCTTGCCAGATATTTCTCTCCACCAATTTCTTGCTTCAAGGGCCAGGGAAATGTACCATGAATTGCAGTGGGTTTTGTTTCTTGTTGTCTTGTTTAATTACGCTCTTGTCAGAATTAAATGGTTTAATATTTTAAATCGCTAGTTCCACGAAAACTCTTCGGCTACTTTTTTCCTTTTTGCTTGTATTTGTTTCTGTAATTTTCTTTATGATAAATTGTATAATCAGATGCCACTTTTTATCTACACTTTCCGTAACAGAAGTTTCATAATCTAATTTTATCACGTTTTATTTAGACGGTTTCCAGTTTAGAAGCTGCTAACATCTGATCTGTATCAATTTTTATCCACTCCGTTTCTGGTTTGTATCTACGGCAAAGATAATGTGTCTTTGTGATTCGTTCCAGTTTAAAAGGCACAATCATACAATTTTTATCACTTTTATCGACACTGGTTTCCGATTTTTATCACCTTATCTACCACAACGCTATTTTGTCTTCCTGATACGTTGCTTCAATTGAAACTGGTTAGCATTTCCTGTCATTCGGTTGTTATTGTAAGCTCCACGAACTGTAACAATCACAGGTCACCTTCCATTGAGGAACAACAATAGTCACACCGTCACAGATAGTTGACACACACGCCGCAAGCCTGCGCTGCAGTGACTGACGGAGGAGAGAGGCAGCCCACGGGAGAGGAAGAAGAGATGTGCGATGTGGAACATAACAAGACGGGATCATAAGAAAGAAGGCGGAGATCTTTTTCCGACAACAGATGTGTGCGGGGGCTGGAAAGACCACAGCCTTCTGGAAGGGGAACCGGTTGAGGAGGGAGATATCATTCACAATGTGTAGGCGCGAAATATACCCCGTTCCCCTACTTCTCTTATAGGAGCGGAGGGAGGGGGAGAGGCTCCACAGGAATGCCACTCATGAGGTGGAGATGCAACCGTTTCGACACGCGCAATGCTTCGTCTCAACGCTCGGCGGAGCTGCTGGTTGTGATGGCAATAAAAAGTTGAGCCATATTGGGACTAACACATCTTATTCGGAATGTCATACACCTCAGCGGGGGTGAGGTACGCACACATTGTTACCAACCTATCAAGTGTACACCCGTCGTTTGTCTTAAGTAATACGAACCGAAGGTTATGTTTTCAGCTATGCCCTTTTTTACCCTATTTTAAAAACGAACTTATATCGCTAGTCTTGACGATGGGACTTAATCCCCCTAATAAAAGAAGGCAAAATTGTCCCTGTGCCTAGGTAATTAAGCACCAAGGCATGAAGACATTGGGGAGTGGAGGTATAGCTCCACCATTCTTAACCTCGGCACTAGCTAGAGGTGAGTGGTCACCTTCACGCCCCGGCCGCTTTACTTCCGGTATCCATTGTGTAGGAGGCTGGGTGGGCTGTGGAGAAGAGAAGTCCCCGTCGAGGGGAATCAAACCCCGGCCCTCTGGGCTATGTACAGCAACCATTAATTAGCAAACAGCCCCTGGATAGCAGGACAGGCTGGTTACCGCTGAACTAACTCGCTTTATTCGTAATGCATATGCTTCCGAAAGTGAGACTGCAAGTGTCCCTGGGCGTGTCCACTTGCAGTGGCTGTAACCACGTGAGCAACTAGAAGCTTGCTTGATTTGAGATACTCACAACGGTGACTATGATGAGTACTGCCTTCTGCGATGTAACGCCGTACATTCCGATAATAATCCACCAACATTTCGTCGCAGGAACTTATTACTTCCATCTTCAGGATCGAAAATCAAAGCAAGCAGGAAACCAACAAGGAGCAGGCAGCGAATAGAGCTTGCTTACGTTGAAGAGTTCTATCTTGTGGGCTGTAACGCAATGTAGTTCGGTAAAAGTCAAACGGGGTTTCGGAGGAACATGTCGCCTCCATTGTCAGGGTCGAAGAAGCAGATCTTTGCTTGCTACTTCACACTGATTTATTTCTTGTCTTATTCTTCGACCGTGCAGATGGAGGCGACATAATCCTCCCAAATGTCCGTTGACTTTCAACGGACTACACAGCGTCATATCCCAGAAGACAGAACTCTTCACAGCCACCACAGTGCGTTCCTCCGAAACGTCTGTGGACTTCTACGGCTCTACATGCGAGAAGATTCTGAAGAATAACTCTGTTTCATGGAGTTAGGTATGTCTTCAGGTATATTTGAACCTCGCTCTCCTAGAAACACATTGCTCTGAATGGAAGTGGCCAAGAGTCTGTTGAGACTTTGGGGTCGCCCTAGTGCTGCTTCGGCATGCATGAGCGGTTGAATGAAGTTACAGGGGAAGACGCGAGATGTCCTTGTCTCCATTGATGTTTGTCTAGAAGCGGTCAGGGTCATCTCTGCAGCCAGCTACAGGATCTGCCCACGTTTTGTCCAGTCCACAAAGAACGGACAACAAGACCCAGAAAAGATGAAATATTTCGAGTTCAGGCGGATATCGACGTACTTGGCAAATGTGTACCGTTTTTGCTTCTGGCAGTATTTATGTACTTTGTCCATCGTTTGGTATTCTAAATATTAGAAAACACGTTTCGGAAAGTGGATGTTTCCGTCCTCAGGTGAGAGGGGGAACACCCACTCTCTAGGGTGTCTGAGAAAGAGCTAAGCTCAGTCCCAGTGATTGAGGTTAGCTCCTAACGGACCCAACAGAGTAGATGCATCCTCTCACCTGACCTTCGTCAGAACCGTTTAGAGTCTAATTAAGTACATGCCTCACTGGTTCTCCTGTCGCCGCTACAAACACCAATCGCTTAATGTTGTTTAGGGAAATAATCACTGATTATTGAGGCATGGGTAAAGTTGTCCTTGTGCTGGACGACCGATGAGTCGCAGTTCGAGTCCCGGTGGTGTCAAGGATTTTCACTTCTCCACTTCGTCCAGTCCGGCTCTGGGGTCCACCCAACCTCCTACCCAGTTGGTACCTCGGGCTCTTTCCCCGGGGCGTAAATCGGGAGGAGAGTGAATCTGACCACTCACCTCCAACTAGTGCCAAGAAAACATGGATCTATACATCCACTCCCCTATACGCCTTCATGGCGTAGTGTTTAATTAAATAAGCACAGGGACAACTTTACCTTTTACCGTTACCATAACAATCTGCAAATCTCTTTCTCATGCCGGGAATCGAATACTTGATATTTAAAGGAATGAGACGCGATGGTTGAGCCAGGTACTGGAAGGCATAAGGAAGAGAGGAAAGCGAAAAGGACAGACTGCGAGAAGAAGTGTGAGATTGGAGACTTCTCGTCTGTCGACGAGAAGGGAAACGATGCTAGAAGAAGAAGAAGAGGGGGAGGAGATTGTCTGTCTCATAGCTTGTATTTCAACCTAAATTATCGAAATTCTTCACTGGCCTCCGGTAAGATCAAAATGTTCCATCCGACCTTCGAGTAAGGAATTATTGTACATCCCTGTTCGACTTAATATGCATCAGTTCCACGAATTACGTACTTCCAGCAAACTGTGATGGTCCCAGAAATCATTAGTCATAAGGAATTCCACATATTATAAGCAGAAATCATAGCTTTAAATTTTTTTTGTACCTCTTATGGGCGTAGTGGCTTCGAGGAGGGCTCGAGGTTCGTTTGTGGGTTACGTTCGTATTGGTACTGAAGTCTAATTCCTTAAGAGCAGAAATTTAAATGGCAGACGCTTCTGAGAAATGCAGGCACTTTGCAGTTCCCCGTGTAAGTGCCGTTCTAATCTACGTGTTCTTATGGAGCTTAGCCCTTCTTGAGGAGCCGCCAATTCTGCAGCTGCTCAGGAATTTCCCAGCATTTTATGGAACCCAAAGGTACATTACCGTGTTCACAAGAGCCCTCCACTGGTCCCTATCTTGAGCCAGATCAATCCAGTCCATACCATCCCATCATATCTCTCAAAGATCCATTTTAATATTGTCCACTCACCTATGTCTTGGTCTTCCCAGTGGTCTCTTTTCTTCTGGCTTTCCCACCAATATTCTATATGCATTCCTCTTCTCCCCCATTCGTGCTACATGCCCTGCCCACCTCATCCTCTTTGACTTGATCATCTCCACTAGGTGTACATAAATCTGTATCATCATTTGCTGTCGAGATAGCTCAGTCAGTATAGTGACGAAGCTACTGAGCGAACGGATCGGAATAACGGTACCGCTATTGAATCATACACGAGAGGTGCCCGGTTCGAGGATCGGTTGGGACATTGCGTAGCCTGGCCAAGGTTTTTCTTGGATTCCCTGGGTTCCACCAGGCAAATGCAAGGATTGTACCTTGATTATCCCACAACCGTTTCCTTCCAGATACTTTCCAATTCGAGATTCGTCGACCATCCTACCATTCCACGCTGTAGACTGACTTACTACTGAAAACATCGTTAGATGGGCCACAAATAGAGCCGGAACTGGAGGACTCGTTACCTGCTGATCCGTATCCTCATCACCGGACACGATTCTGTGCCAGTTCAATCCACTTCGCACCGTATTTCATTAAGACTGCCTTTCGAATCAGGTCTCTGCTAAGTGCGTGTTTCTAGTTCAGTACAAATCTCTTTTATGTTAGTCCTGTGTGAAGTGCTAACATTTATATACACAGCAAACCCTCGTTCAACGCGGATTCCATTATACGCATGGAAATAAATGTTAACAATTATTTGCCGAGCACGGAAAATTCGATAGTGTGCGTTCTGATAGCATACGAAACATACCGTTACTGTTTAAATGGCTGAAGGCAGTTTATCGGCTTTCGCCTCTGTGTATATGTAACAGTGTCGGTGTCAGGATGGCTCAGTCGGCATAGCGACGGGCTGCAGGCTGGACAACATGGTGTTGGGATTCGATTCTTTTCAGAGGCAGATATTTTTCTGTTTCCCACAGCGTCCAGACCGACTTTGAAGCTGACACTGCCTCGTATAGAATGAGCATCGGGGGGCTGTTTCCACGGGGGTAAAGCGGCTGGAGCGTGAAGCTGACCATTCTCCTCCATTTAATTCCGAGATTAAGAAACGTCTTTATGGCGTGGTGCCCTCGTCACCACAAAGTTCGTCGAAAGCGCCATTTTCCGCGTTGAATGAGGGCTTATTTTATCTAGGTTTCTGTATCCTGCCGAAGTTTTAATTGCATTTGTAATTTACATTTCATCGTAATCCGATAATTAAAATGGCATGCGAATCTACTACAAGTTGACGAAACTCTTCAATTTAAATTCTTCAGACGAAGAAATTGATGTAGTAATCCCATAGCAACTTAATTGGGTTCATTTTGTGACGAACGGTCAGCGACTACTTAACAGCTTAACATACAATTCAGGACTTTATTTTTCCTGAACATTTTATCAAGTTGACAGCTTCACAACTTCCAATCCTCTTAAGAGATAAATATGAGAACTTCTTTCGCCTCACCTTGAAAATTGGAATGTTATTACTTGCCTGTTTTATATAAATGCTGCCCAGTCTGGAGGGGACAAATCTGCATATCAAAACACCTCTACACTCGAGTCCGCAGAAACCTGTTTTCTAGCAGCGGCCTTCCAGTGCTGGCATTGACCATACATGGTATAGGAACGCACGTGTTTGAGCCCAGAGGTTAGAAGGGTGTGTGCTTGTTTCAATGGTACGAGGGCGGAAACTATTCAGCTGATGGGTGGTACAAGGGGCAGGGAAGGGGGCAGGGGTATCACAGCAAATAATAAT